TTCTCCACCCTCCTCTGGCATAACAAAGCCTTGAGATCTCCAAGACGATTTGTCCGAGGAGGACGGAATTGATCGAAGAAGCAAATTTCGTAAAGCCTTGGTGGCTGAGTTGACACAATCCTAAAATAATTATTAATGAGGAGAATCCCTGTTGAAGAATTTACATACAACTTGAAAAGGTGACAGAATATTGGGCAAGTAAATTGTCACAATATTACCCTCCCTGTCCACAATGGTAGCTGGGGCTGAAATTTTCCAATCTTAGCTGCTGCAAAGTACTTTTGTAGCCGTTCAGTTTCAGAGAGTGAACCACCAGCACTAGTGTGGATGCCTTGACCATGTCAGCAAATCTTGAGGCGTCCCAGTCTACATAATCTGCCCCCTGAATTTAAATCTGGATATATATTGAAAACAAGATAACTCACAAGGATTTACTACTGCATGCGCAATTGTGAGTGCAGCCCATTGATCTCATAATTGGAGATTGAAGAATTCTTGTCTGAGCGGACATCAGCTGTTGCTAAGCAATGATTTAGCTCCAATCCAATCCGCTGCCTTGATAAGAATAAGTGAGTTTCCACCTAACCAGCGGAGTGATAAATATAGAATGTACCTTGCTTTGTTCAGAAGGTGACTTTGTACTATCTTCCCTTTGATGACACTTGTTGCTGCTGAATCCCTCATGATTGCCTTGATCCTTGTGGTCAGAGCCACTCTTAGCTTGGTTGATTCACTGGTTAGCTGGTTCATGTTGGTGAGAGAGGCAAAATTTTCAACGAGGCAAATTTTTCAACCGGCTCCCACAGCACTAAAAGCCCCAGTATCATTTTATGTAAATTAGTGATATATGACATGATTCTGATCAAAGAATACTGATAAGAACAATGATGTGACTGCATCAATGTGCTTATGCAATTTACATAATGGAAGTTTAGCTAAATTGGCAATTGGCACCCAGTGACATCATAAGTCTTGTAACAGCACAGTATGTGACTGCAGCACCACTGGGTTAACCATGCCTGGCGTAGGTAGGGGGTTGGTTGGCCATCCTTAATAAGAGAAGGAATGAGGGGTAAAAATGGTGAGTTCAGATAGTTCAGATAAGAACGGTGAGTTCTGGTAGTCTAAAAAAAAGGGGTATCCTAATAGGTGAAGGAACAGGGGGTAAGAATGGTGAGTTCTGATAGTCTAGCTCTTAAAAAAGGGGTGCCTTAATAGGTGAAGGAACAGGGGATAAGAATGGTGAGTTCCGGTAGTCCAACATCGTTAAAAAATAGGGTATCCTAATAGGTGAAGGAACATGGGTTAAGAATTCCGGTGAGTTCTGGTAGTCCAGGTCTGTTAAACAAGGGGCGCCTCAATAGGTGAAGGAACATAGGTTAAGAACGGTGAGTTCTGGTAGTCCAGTGTCGGTTAAAAAAGGGGGCGCCTTAATAGGTGAAGGAACAGGGGGTAAGAATGGTGAGTTCTGGTAGTCCAACGTCATTAAAAAATAGGGTATCCTAATAGGTGAAGGAACATGGGTTAAGAACGGTGAGTTCTGGTAATCCAGTGTCGGTTAAAAATAGGGTATTCTAATAGGTGAAGGAACATGGGTTAAGAACGGTGAGTTCTGGTAATCCAGTGTCGGTTAAAAAATAGGGTATCCTAATAAGTGAAGGAACATAGGTTAAGAACGGTGAGTTCTGGTAATCCAGTGTCGGTTAAAAAAGGGGGCACCTTAATAGGTGAAGGAACATGGGTTAAGAACGGTGAGTTCTGGTAATCCAGTGTCGGTTAAAAAAGGGGGCACCTTAATAGGTGAAGGAACATGGGTTAAGAACGGTGAGTTCTGGTAGTCCAGCGCCGAGTGTGGGTAAGGGGTTGGAAAATGGTAGATGGTGACTTTGTATTGCGTCCTTCATGGCGAGGGAGTTAACTGAGTTGTGCCAGCGATCGTGCCTGGTGTAGGGGGTTGCATAACCGAGTCACCAATATGTCCAATATAAAATCACCACCTGCCATTTGGTATTGGACATATTGGTGGCTCAGTCGCCTTCACCTTGGCTGTCTTGGCCGGTGGTAAAGGATTACTGCCTTGGATGCACCTTGTATTTGATCCGGTACTCATTACAGTCATTGACTCCTAAGAGTTTTCAACATCGTTTGTGTTTACCTTGTATGACGCATGAATTTGATACTATCTGTGTAACATTTTTGTTCTATCATTAAGTTACATGCATAACTATGTATTAGCAGCGTTGATAGGTACGAAAGACCTTGAACGACTGTGCAATATGATGTTTTGTTGCGAAATTTTCATGTTGAGCTCTTCTTAAGATCACGTGACTTTTTCAACCGGCAACAAATTGGATGTTAGAGCATGACGGATTTCAATTTTAAGCACAATTTGCACTACATTTAATACAAGTTTCAAAACCAGTAAAGTAAGAAAGATAATGGGGAGCTGCAAGACCTTGATGAGGTGGCCAACCTCACCAAAGCCTTGCGCTCCAAGTGAAATAGTAAGTAGTAAAATAAACTAATTGCACTACTATGTCCTGTGTGAATGTTAGATAAGACTTTGAAAGGAGATTGGACACTTAACTAAGCAAAGCTGATTAAGTGAAACTCAAAGTCCTGTGCCAAGTGCTTAAGCTGATGTCATATGAAAGGAGAGCGCTTACCGGAGTAAAGAAAGAAAAAAAATTCTCATGACACTTGCAGAATAAAAGCGCTTGAGTCAAGTCCAATGGGGGGTGGTGAGAGTGCTTGATAAAGGGAATAAGCTTAGTCAAGAAGACAACAGGTTAAAGTACTTACCGGAATGAATACACAAACCAGTCAAAAACTAGCCCCCAGTATCAAATAGCGGGAACCACTGACAAGTGGTATGCACCGCGAACAAACAACTAGCGGGAACCACTGACAAGTGGTATGCACCGCGAACAAACAACTAGCGGGAACCACTGACAAGTGGTATGCACCACGAACAAACAACTAGCGGGAACCACTGACAAGTGGTATGCACTGCCAGCATCAAACAAAACACATAACTAGCCCCCAGTATCAAATAGCGGGAGCCACTGACAAGTGGTATGCACCGCCAGCATCAAACAAAACACATAACTAGCCCCCAGTATCAAATAGTGGGAGCCACTGACAAGTGGCATTCACCGCGAACCCCCAGTCCCATAACGCTAAGTAAAAAAACATAACGCTAAGTCGAAAATCAGCAAGGCGTTGCGAGAAAGTAATTACTTACCTTATAAACATAGCGCGCACAAACATAAAGTCAAGAAAAAATCACGCTATGTAGAAAATCAGTATGACGGCACAAGACAATAACAACTTACTTGTCAAGGGTAGTACATGGAAATAAAAATGACGCTAAGTAGAAAAAATCAGCATGGTGGTGAGAGAAAATGATTACTTACCTATATGAAATCCTTTGAGAGGATGGCGCATGGAGATGAACAAAGTTAGCTAGTTGGCAGCGCACAAAGACAATGCGGACTTACTCTTTTTTTGAAGGGCGACTATAGAGTAGTACCTTTGAGTCCTTGCAGCTGCAGTCTGCAAGAACTCAAAGGATTATCTATAAGGCGCCCTAAAAGGACTGGACGCATAAGAGAATAAGAGTGATGGGAATAAGAATTGTTGGGACGTTGAAGAAGAGAGAAATGAACCGTGAGAAGTAAAGTTGAAGTTCATAAACGTGTTCGTTTGTCGTTGTTTGTTGACAACTCACGTGATATGTTGAATGTGTTGAATTCACACAAGTCCAAAGTCACACGGTAAACTCACGTGATATGTTGAACGTGTTGAATTCGCCCAAGTCCAAAGTCACACGGTACGTGACGCGTTGTTTGCTTATTGTTTGTTGATACAACAAGCGACATTGTCAACATGTCAGTTTGTATTTATTTGTACAATCAACCAACGCTTGGAACTCTGGCGCTTCCTTCTAAGTACCTTGACTTTATCATTGTTTGCGCTGCTTACTAGTACTGTAAGTGTTATTTTGAGTCTGTAAGTTACTGATTTAAAATCTGTCCATTAATAGATTCTTGTTCTAGACGCCCAATGGTCAAAACACTTCAAACATGCAAGAAGTCCACCGGCGGTACTGCTCCTCGCATCATGTTGAAGCTACCACACTCAACACTAGAGGCTCCTGCAATGCAGGAGATGGAAGTGTGTGATCCCTTCCGGCACAATGAGGTATGTAAATTTTAACTTACTGATTAACACTAATGCTTCTTCTTTCACAGTTCTGTATCGTGTGCCGTGACGGTTCTGTCGATGAAGATCGCCTCTTCCTGTGCAACGCGTGCCCGAGGGTTATGTGCTCTCATTGCATAGATATCCCCTCAGGCGCCGCGCACCAGCTAGAGGCTGACGACGTCACCTTCCTATGCGTCTATTGCCATGTAGGAAAGGAGCGGCATGGACGCGGAGGATACTCACCTTACTTTGTGAGTTGCATTTGTCTTTCATTCTTACTAACCCTAACTTGACTTACAGGGTTTTTACCGCAATGACAAGCCGTTGTTCCCCTCCTTCCTCCCCATCCGCGCCACACTGGAGGTCTCCCTTCACTCGCAACTATCTTCTACGCCGGTACTGATGCTCCATCTCATCCTCGTCGACCATGACACGACCGGCGGTTCCTTTGAACTTACTGCCGACTTCCTTCGTCCTTACTTTCCCAGCGGTGGACTCGAGTTCCAAGCTGTTACCTTCGACATTGGCAATGATACGAAGATCGCAAAGTATCAGTCAGATGCAGCTCGCACCGTCCAGTCGCTGTTGAAGTCCACCTGGACTCGTGTAGTTATCGCTATCACCAACCATACAGATAACGATGAAGGTGATCTGTTCGTGGGGTACGAAACTAAGAAGAAGAGTTATGTTTCTGCGCGTGTTCACACAGTAAGTGGTCGCTCTTGGCTGACCTTGTTCTTGCTCATGTCTACAACAGGTTTTGGACATTCTCCTTTCACCTTGGGACCCATTGATTCGTGGCGCCGCAGAATCTTACCTTTGGCTGTTGTCTTGTGGTGCGCTGATCAACAAACCAACTTCGTTTGCATGCCTGCAAGCGGCGGTTATCAAGTAAGTGTTTTTGTTGTCTTAGGTTCTGAAAACTAACTTTAGATGCTAGTCATCGCATGACTGCCACTATTGGCTTCAACGCCGTTCGCTTCCAACCCACCTTCGCAACTCACCTTCTTCTGGCCTTCGCAGAACTTGTTCTGATTGAGTGCTTCGCCATTCAGGTCGCATTCCCCGATATGTTGGGACAATCCTACAAATTGGGGCGCCATAGCGACGTGTTCTTGATGATGCCGAATAGCAGTGGCTCATTAACTGTTACCCGGTACGCCTGGACTCATACTGAACTCTGCCCATGGGGGCAATACTTGCCAGTTCAGTGCCCCCAGTGTGGCTGGATCAATGCTTGGCGTTCTGTCAATGTGGGCAAGGTGTACCACTTTGAATGCAAGAATGATGCTTGCAGGAAAGGGTTCTCATTCTCCCAACCAGCTAATTCAAGGGTGCTTCTTCCTGGTAAGCGGCCTGGTTCTTGTTGGATTTCCATTCCCTTGGAACCCACACCCAGTACTCCTGCTGAGGACGACTTTGAATAGATTTGTCTGGAGTTGTTGCACATGTTTGTTTTGTCACCTATGTTACTTTTCAGCCAGGTTTTGTAGCTCATTTTACATGTGTAGTTAAATCTTGAATTTAACTACTTTGATTGACGGATTTCTATTTTTTTATACCATCTAAGTAAGTCCGCACATGTATTTGTATTTGAGCCAAGGTTATGTAGTTGTATCATGTGATTGAGGATCTTAATGCTAATCTTGAATCTTAATATGGTCATATGAATAATGTTACAGTGCCTAAATATGGGATTCAAATCAGTTTGTCGGCCAGCCGCCCTCCTACCGCAAGTACTCGTCAGCTCTATCAAAATTTTCAGCCTTTTTTTTGACTGAACTACAATGGCTTCTGACTGGACAACTTGCTATAAATATATTCTTGATCATTATCATCAAGGTATTGTGACTGCAGATTCACCACAGGCTCTCAAACGAATGGTGAAGAAAATTCGTAAGGCTATACTTGAAGCCCAAAAGGAACTTGAAGATGAAGATGCGCCCCAATTGCCTACTTCTTTGAAAAAGGTAACAAAATTTTAATTGTGTATGTAGATACATTTGATTGATGGGTGAATGCTACATATAGGAGATAAAACAATACTGTTCCCAAATCATCGCCTACAAGGAAGAGGCCAAGGAACGAGAGGCCGCAAGTCGTCCAAGAGAAGTGTCCTTCTACAAGAAATCACTTACCGAATGGGATGTTGCACAGAGGTTGTTCAAGGAAGAAATAGATAAGTTTGACAAGGATGAGCAGAGAAGGAAAGGAGTCCAACATTCAATCAAGTATCAGACTGGCCATGCGAGGCAATGGTTTGACAATATGTCCCCTTTGCAACAGGAGGAGGTCAAGTTCGCCATGACAAAATGGAATAGGGAGGGGGCACCAGAAGAAAGTCAAGTAGTGTAAGTTTGACTTAAGATTTACTATTGATCTCGTCTAAGATCTTCCTTAAGGTATAGGAAGAACAACCTCAAGAAAACACTTGAAGACTTTTCAGAGCAAATACGACGTACTATGGGTTGTCGAGTGGTGATGTTCGTTAGCCACAAGAAAAAAGCTAGTCAGACATTGTCTGTCAGTCTGTAAGTGATTGAACTTTCGTAATTCTCAAGGCTAACTAGACTAACTAATCACTATGTAGACATGAAACCGACCCTCAAAATGTCAAGAAGAGGTTTTCTGTCAGCTCCAATGGGATTAAGGAGTGGACTGCAACTGGATTTGAATCCTTTGCAGAATGGTCAAAGACCGAGTTTTGTATGTGGCTAATTGGAATTTGAATCTTGCGTGTACTAACACTAATTATTCACTCAAACTAATAGATCCTTCAGATGATCAGGACCTCGAGGGTTCAGACAATGAGGATGCTATACCCGAAATTATCCTAGATGACGATGGATATGCCAAACTTCCTAGTCGTGTTGGTATTAGCCTTAGGGGCCAACATGAATTGATTAGGGGTATATTTCATACTGCGTATAGTAAGTTCTTATGTCTTCATATTTGTTAGCATTTGATTGATGCTTTGGTTTGTAGAAGTCTGCACTGGGGGCTCTAGACCTGTGCCTTGGGGTGTGATAACTGCTGCCTCGTCCAATTATTTGGAACATGGTTCTGTTCCCACTGCATTTGTGGTCAAAGACCCTTCTCATATGAAGACTGAGGAGGTAAATCGTCTATGGAACCATTGGGAACGAAATTCGGCTGCAAACAAGAAGCTAGTTGTTTTTGTCAAAGCCAAGGATGGTGATGTGCAGGCAAATGTAAGGAATGAAGAAAGAAAGAAGAAGTCTAAGGAGGAAAGAGTAAGCTTACTTGACTCAGACGAAGAAGACAGCGACCGGCTTCCTTCCTTGAACAGCTCTGATTTCACAGAACGTAGAACCCAGCCGGCCGACACAACCCCAGATGATGTTTCAATCGATGATCGATATGCATTCCTCAAATCTCTAAGCAAGAATGACGACTACCTGGAGCTTATAGATGCCATTAGGGATCTGGCAAAGTTGGCCAAGCAGAAGGTCAGTATAACTTTGAGTGTATCTTAATCTCATAGCTCATAGTTCGTCCAATAGCCAACTTCAGAGGAGAATCCAGATTTGCCTATCTGGGCTAACTGGTCTTGGGGAGAATCTTATCTTCCTGAGGACATGCATGTGTCTTATGACACTTTGAAGGCTAGCTTGGATAAGCTACGAACATCTCCAATCTCAGGGGCAGCATCTGCCATGCCAGTGATTCTAGGAATTGGGCTCCTCTATAGAGAGTCTAAACGCGTCATAGAGTATGAGGAAGATGAGGCTGACCCCAATACACCTTTCTACCTACCTGGTTCTGCTTTTGATCTAGAAGTCTTGGTTTCTCTTGATCAAGTTGTTCGGCAGGTCTTGGCCACAGTTGTTGAGCACATAGAGAAGCTGGCAAAAGGGGGACTTGGTGAGGTGCCAGGGGAGGAAGTTGTTTTGACAAAGGGGAAGGAGAAGGTGAAGGAGACACAGGAGGAGCAGGAGCAGGAGCAGGAGCATGAGGAGCAGCAGCAGGAGCAGCAGGAGCAGCAGGAGCAGCAGGAGCAGCAGCAGGAGCAGGAGCAGGAGCAGAAAGGGAGGAAGAGAAGAATGCCCCAAGCTTCAACCAGTGAGTCTAAGAAGCCTAGGATTGAGCCTGAAGTCCGCAGATCAGGCAGGCCAAGGAAACCTTCTAAGAGAGCCCAGAACTGATCTTATATACTCCTTTGTCTTCATTGCTGATCAATTTTGTACAACAAATATATCTACTTGTCAAGACTTGGACGAGAATTGAACCATTAGCTCCTACATACATAGACGAAAAAAGGCCAGTATACTAATGAAAAGTGATAATTTAAAAGCTCTACACTGGCCAGCCATGTTCCTACACATGTAGAACCAGGCTGGCCGGTGTGCTAGTCAAATATAAGCAAACTGGCCAGCCATGGTCTTACACACATGGAACCATGCTGGCCGGTTTGCTATTGAAATATAAGCAAACTGGCCAGCCATGGTCTTACACACATGGAACCATGCTGGCCGGTTTGCTAGTGAAATATTAGCAAACTGGCAGGTTTACTAGTCAAATATAAGCAAACTGGCCAGCCATGGTCTTACACACATGGAACCATGCTGGCCGGTTTGCTAGTGAAATATTAGCAAACTGGCAGGTTTGCTAGTCAAATATAAGCAAACTGGCCAGCCATGGTCTTACACACGTAGACCCAAGCTGGCCGGTTTGCTATTGAATATAAGCAAACTGGCCAGCCATGGTCATACACATGTGGAACCATGCTGGCCAGTTTGCTATTGAAATATAAGCAAACTGGCCAGCCATGGTCTTACACATGTGGAACCATGCTGGCCGATTTGCTAGTGAAATATTAGCAAACTGGCAGGTTTGCTAGTCAAATATAAGCAAACTGGCCAGCCATGGTCTTACACATGTAGACCCAAGCTGGCCGGTTTGCTATTGAAATATAAGCAAACTGGCCAGCCATGGTCATACATATGTGGAACCATGCTGGCCGGTTTGCTAGTCAAATATAAGCCAATCAGCCAGCCATGTTCCTACATATGTATATACAGACTGGCCAGTTCACCAATGACTACATATACTAGCCAGCCTGATCCTATGGTTAGTACACTCAATGGCCAGTATATTAACTTAAGGACTATGAACTGGCCAGCCATGCTCCTACCCACGTAGATACAAGCTGGCCAGTCTACTAATGAAATCAGACTGCAGTAGATATATTCTACATATACCAGCCAGCTTGATCTTATGGCTAGTATATGTCATATGATATATCGGCCAGCACCAATCCTACATGAAAGACATTGGCCTATTATACCTCGGCCAGCACCAATCCTACATGAAAGACATTGGCCTATTATACCTCGGCCAGCACCAATCCTACATGAAAGACATTGGCATACTGTACACCTGCCAGTACCTATCCTACATGAAATAATGATACTGAAGTGATAATAAGATAGTACACCGGCCAGCACTTATTCTACATGCACCGGCCGGGGACTGGCCAGCCATGATTCTACAACCTTTTGGCACATCCGGGGCAGGGGTTCTACATGAAAAATGACTGAAGGGTCTGTCCACGTCTCACAGATTTTGGTCTTGCGGCGGTCCCAGGGGACGCAGACTTGCAATTGTCCACGATGACTGTGACTAGCCATTTGGATTCTCGATGGCGTGCGCCTGAAGTAATTGGAATCGAGTGCGACCCTGAACGACCAACTTTCGAGAGCGACATCTATTCATTTGGTGGTGTTATGTATTTTGTGCGATCTTTTTCGTTTTCTTATGTACCTCTCTTAACTCTTTCACCACTCAGATCATCTCGGGGGATGTACCATGGAAAGAGAAGAAGCATTCGCATCAAATTTCGATCGAGTTATCGAAAAGAGTCAAACATGCGCGTCCCGATAACATCCTTGACAAGCATTGGAACTTCATCCAACAATGCTGGTCTTGGAACCCGCAGGATCGCCCAGGAGCAGCACAAGCCATTGGATGCGTTGCAAGGAAAAGTATCTTACTCTTTGGGGAGACGGGAGTAGGAAAAAGCGCACTCGTCAACCTCATGGCGGGAGAGGAGTTAGCACCCACAGCTCTTGGCGTGGGCCGCTGTACGATGCACTCGCAAGATTATAATGTCGAATTTGGTGGCGAGTCTTATAAGGTGTTCGATACCGTTGGACTCGAGGAACCGCAGCTGGGAATAAAACAGTACCTCGACTCTGTCGAGAATACCTCCAAGCTCATCCAGAATTTGGATAAACGCGGTGGCATTGATTTGCTTCTGTTCTGTGTTCGCGCAGGCAGACTCACTGCTATGGTGAAGAGCAATTACAGACTCTTTCACGAATTCCTCTGCGAGAAGAAGGTTCCCATTGTTATTGTGATCACGAACCTCGAACGTGAGGAATCGATGGAGGACTGGTGGAAGAGGAACCATGATATTTTCGATCGAGGCAATATTCATGTTGCTGGTCACGCGTGCGTCACTGCCGCTGATAAACAGACACTCAAACACCCACATCTTTATGACGAATCGCGCGTCATAATCCGCAACCTTGTCAAAGAACATGCTGCTGACGGTCAGAAGCAAGCATGGATAGGAGGGGACAGTCGGTTCCGGAGCTTCTTTGGTCGGAATCCGCTTGAGAGCAGGAAGGATCTTATCCCTCGCCTCATGAAGCGTTGCGGAATGTCTCGAGAACTCGCAACATCCTTGGCTGATATCATCGAGAAAGACGAGGTATGACTGCACGACTCTCCTCTTCGACGAATTATGCTCAAATTTGCTTTGTTGTAGTAAGTCCATGTAATTTATTGGGTGAAATGAGGACCCATTTCCGTGAAAATCATAGGAGGAAGGCGGACCACAGGCAGGAAAACTGCACCTTACTTTACCTTCCCTTGATCGAGTCTAGACGAATTTCACGCAGCACCAAGAATGCTCAAATCATTCGCGCAATCGGAGACACGAATCAAACGGTAGTACCAACCTTAGTCTATGACCACCACTTCGAGCGCGCAATGTAATGAACGATCTTCAGGTCACCCATGCGGGCACAATCATCCCTTGACAACCATGCTGTGCTGTTCCTCATAATTGAAGGGCAGGATTAGCGTTAACAGTAGCCCCAGGAAGTGCAAGCCCATGACTGGGGCAGATTGGGACTGAGATGGTTGAATTTGCTGTGATATATAGTGCGAAGGTGACGAGCGGGAAGTCTATGTGTGAAGGTCATGTTGCAATTGCCAGCGTGAAAACGATCAAATATCCATACAAGCCAACGATATGAGAACCACGATTGACTGCCGAAGTCTAGGCATTCAACCGAGTAGTATCAATTGAAAGATCCAAGTCGCAAAGACAACAGATGTTTGAAAAATGTATGTCAGCGAAATGATGGTGTGAGTCGTCGTAGGGGTCGTCAAAAGTAAATGATCAACGCATGGAAAGGAGAGAGAGGGAATCAACGGGAAGAAAGAACTCACCTAGGCATCTAGATAAAGCTCGGTTCCATGGAAAGAGAGAGTTCGTTGAGGTGGCAGGCAAAGGAAAAGAAGTAGGGCGCTTGAACGAGCGCCCTATCCCGTATTTGGCGAGACGCATGCTGAGGCTGACATGTTGGTGCAGATGAAACTAGGATGAGTCAATATAGACACGTAGACACGTAAGTTGTTTCGATGGGGTGAGGAGAGGTGGAGAAACGCACCCATGATTGCAACAGACATCAACAATTGTGTTCGTTTCATGCTTCTATCTCAGAGTTATTCGTTCCTTCCTGGCTCGCACTGAAGAAACGACCCTTCCGTAGGATATCGATAGGTTCCCGTAAGCTACCATCGAATTGGCTTGTGAACTACGGCAGGCGTGTAATGAGTGTTCACGGTCATCACGAGGAATGGGTCACAAACCCGATTGGATAATGTATGCAGGAAATGAGGGGAGGTCATGTGTACTCGCAGTCACTTCTGATTGAAAGCGCAGGCATAAGATAAATGTATAGCAATGGACCGGAAGCAAAATGAACTCACCTGGCATAAGATTCCCCTTGCGCAGTCCTGTCTCTCTTCCACCTGCAATCCTCTCTCGTGAGTATCACGAGAGCACATCTAAACCTCTGCTAATACTGCGAGGTATGTTATATTTTGCTTGGTGCAGAATACCAGGGACTCGAGGCACGATGATTGAAAACGAACATCAATGTGGACTCTGAAGCAGAGAATGAATTGGTGCCAGAATTATGTTAAGAGTTGAAGGACGCAGCCTCTGCCCCGAGCCCACGCGCCGGAGCATAGCTCGCCATGCCAATATGACGTGACCCGGGCGAATGATACTTATGAAGAGGATAGTGGTCACATCACAATTTACGAAACATCGAACCAGCCGAAATGGAGGAAGGCTGCATAGCCTGCCAATGGACAATTAGCGCCCCCTCATGGAATCCATACATATAAAAACTCGCCCGCATTGTCGGCTTGCCACACATCAAAAGACCAGCGGATAACCTGGTGAGCACTGGTCAACTGTTTTCCCCCCATGATTGATCACGAACCGTGTCAGAGCCAGGTTGATCATCGCCTTACCTTATCGAGCCATGGCTTCTGGATCTTCGACGAAACCAACCCCCGAGAAAGCTTCAACCCCAGCGCAATCAAAAAGACCAACACCGAAGCACAAATTTGAAGGCCATGGGAATGACATTCGCAATTTCGTCTTCTTGCACGACTGCTTCCACATCGTGAGTGGTTCGCTAGACGGCAAAATGCGTAAATGGGACTGCGACAGAGAACTTCTTGCTGGAGAGCTCTGGTAAGGCGAGGGCGGAAGCATAACTACACTGGGGTTATCACCGGACGGCAAGATGGTTGCGTGCGGGAGGGAGATGGAAATGTTCAGTGCTGGGACACAGATGGAAAGATCTTTGGACGGGTCACAGCACGATGACTTGACGAATTACAACTTCGGATAACGGGAAGGTTAAAATTCTATCGACCTCCAATTTGAGTGTTCTTTCAAGGCCTCATGCACTGCAAAAGTAACGAGTCATGAAGGACACGTAAGAGGGTCTATAGCATGGATCGGTACATATTATATTATGAAATTGCAGCAGCGACCATTAATTACGGATCCATGCATATGCCTCGAGGTGATCATGATACCATCTTCGCTTCTCGGACAACGGTCTGCAGCATGGCTTTACAGGTCGTCTTATAAACTCTAGTCAGCGCCTAGCTATGTAGTAGCGCATCAACTTGAAAAGACCACATCACAAACTCCACTTCCTGAAACCCGCCTCCCGCAAAGTAGTCCTGCCTCCCTACCCATGACGGAACTCGCGCCTGAAGAGTGAGTCTTCTCCCATCAATAATCAAAGCCTCTTGACCCCCGCAGTGACTTTACGTCTCAAATTTCCGGGACGTTAGATCTCGGATATCCATATACATCTGGAGCCTTTGGCGTGGTTTATCGGCGAACCATCGAGTCTAGTGAAGGCACAGTAGAGGTTTGTCTGGTCAACGTGCCCGAGTTCGTCCACCCAATTTATCCTTCAGGTCGCAGTGAAAGTCTTCAAGATCGATCCTGGAAGAGAAATGGAGAAAATTGAAAAGGTCAATCTTCTAATTAACTGGAGGGTGATGATCGAGTCGCCCTTCGCTTAACATGATCTATGTAGGGAATACGTCGAGAAATCAAGGTGTGGCTTAGACTGAAACACCCGACTATCGTTCCGCTACTTGGCACCGCAAGGGTCGATTCTCCGTTTCCGGCTCTCGTTTCCAAATGGATGCCATCTGGGACACTGGATGTCTACCTCAAGGAAGCTGCAACCCTTACCGCTTCCTCTAAAGTTGAATTGGTGAGTCCCTTGCTCACACCGATCACATTCAACAAGCATTCATTGATGTTTATGCAACTAGGCCAACGGTGTTGCTGAAGGCCTCGACTACCGTTGGTCCATTCCAATCCAGTCCTTATTCCTGTTTTTGATGCATATCCAGTTCACTCGGAGAAAGTCGTTCATGGAGACCTTCATCCCGTATGTATGGTCGTCTCTTTTTGGATGTCGTACTCATTCATAAGCCTCAGGCTAATATCCTCATCGATGACTCAGGAAATCCACGTCTCACAGATTTTGGTCTCGCAACAGTCGCAGGGGACGCAGACTTGCAGTTGTCCACGATGACCGCTACCCGCAATTTGGATTCTCGATGGCGTGCGCCTGAAGTGATCGGAATTGAGCGTGACCCTGAAAGGCCTACTTTCAAGAGTGATGTCTATTCATTTGGTAGTGTGATGTTCTTTGTGCGACCTATCTGTTTCCTGCAGCTCTACTCTAACCTTTCTCCTCTCAGATCTTCTCGGGGGATGTACCATGGAAAGAGAAGAAGCATTCGCATCAAATTTCGATTGAGCTATCAAAAGGAGCCATACATGCACGTCCCGACAACATCCCTGACGATCACTGGAGCTTGATCCAAAAATGCTGGTCTCGGGACCCGGGGGGTCGCCCAAGGGCAGCGGAAGTCATTAGACGCACGAACATCGTGATCTTCGGAGAGACAGGGGCGGGCAAAAGCTCCGTCATAAACCTCATGGCCGGCCGAGACATTACGCACATATCGCCCGACTCTCACTGCTGCACTCTGCATTGGTCGGAGTACCTGATAACCTTCGAAAGTGGGACTCGATACCAGGTGTTTGATACGGTCGGCCTCGAGGAGCAAACCAGAGAGTATCTCTCCGCAATTACAAACGCATATGGCCTCATCAACACCTTGAAAGAGCGTGGAGGTATCAACCTCTTGCTCTTCTGCATACGCGGAGGCAGAGTCACGGCAACCATGCAGAGGAACTACAGGTTGTTCTTCGAATTTTTCTGCGAAGCAAAAGTCCCGCTTGTGCTAGTCGTCACAAACCTCGAAAGAGAGACGAACATGGAAGACTGGTACACGCGGAATATGGGCCACTTAGAGAAACATGACATCCGGTCCGTAGGACACGCATGCATAACTGCGGCGAATCTTCTCGACGGGAGGCATAGAGACAAGTATGAGGAATCGCGAAAAATACTCTGTAGTGTTGTTCAGGCTCGTTGCCACGCATCAATGGAAGGGTGGACCGAAGGCCAAGGATGGCTTGCTTCGTCCGGTAGCAAGCTCGTGGATTTCGTCGCTGGACGTCCCAAGAAGACGGATATCATTGGGATCCTCACAAAACGATGTGGAATGACCAAGAAAGTCGCTCAGCAGGTGGCGCAGCAGATCAATAGAGGCGAAAATCAATCCTAGTATAATCTTTCCACTGCTGCTATCATAGTTCATAGACTCTTCCCTCACACGTACATACGTTACTACCTAGGCTACAACAACCACCTGAGCTGACGAAGTTAGCGCGCTTCATTGAATCGTTCAACGATGGGGAGCCTTGACAATGTTGTTGAATGAAGAATGGTATAATGTCTTCCAAGTGGACACAACCAGCTACTTCGATCCGAAGTCACTGGTAACGACTCACGAGAGTCGTACCACGCATCCCGCCGAGGACAGTAGCATCATGTCAACCAACCTCCGCAATAATCACCTTGTTTGCTTCTCATCGTGCACCACTCATGTGCTGTACAACACGGCTGAGCTAATTGAGGGCACTTCTCAAGATGACTACCGGTTGACTTGCTTTTACAGCGAGCTGATGGATTATTCTTCCACCCGCTTCCCGGGAGCCATTCTATACGCCTTGTACTGTATTGGAGATACCTAGAGGAGGTGATGAGCTTGATTAAGCCGCATGGTACATGGAAAACACTGGCAGAATTGCCGATCAGGTAGGTTTCTAGCTGGTCTGTCTGTCTCAGTTATATAAATCAAGACTTCTAGCCATACCCAATGATGATTTATCTCAACGATTGATTTGTGGAGATCGCGAATGTACATGTATCGAGGGTGATGTTAAGTGTGAGGTGTCGTTCGTTGCATGTTCTAGGTATACCTTGAATTTATTTGGCGGATGCCAGCGCCGCATCAACAATTTCGGTCATTTTTATAACCGCCTCTTCCTCCAGAGTCCGACCGACGAGTTGCAAGCAGACGGGTGTGTTTTTGAATCTCTCCGGGTCGTCTGAATCAATCATCGGCCCATTAAATAATCACTGAATGCTGGTAGACTACTCACACATTTCGTAAACGCCCTTATCAAAGTCGTCATAAAAAGCGTGACGAGGCTTCTTCGCATCGAGAATGGGGTCGACAGTGGTTACTGGGAAAGTCGCAGCGGGATAGTCGAGCGCGTTCCAAACAGCGGTGTAGTTAGTGTACCTGAGCATTGTGTCTCATTGATAATTCCAAATTCCGAATATGTAAAGACACTGACCTATTTTTCCCATGGGGAGTTGCCGTGTACGACGAGGCTGGACAGATGATCGCGTCGACAGGCCGTCCTGTACCAGTCTCCGACGCAGTTTCTTCCCAGTGGTCAAGATATTCTTTCCGAAGATCTTTGCGCAGTTTCTGCACTTGCCAGAGCTGGTATGCGGTGATACCCATCTTCGGCGGACGGAAGGGTGCTGCCGCAGCATCTGAGTTGTCCAGGTCCATTGTTGCAATTATTGGTTCGCCTGTAACAGAGGTCGTGATCATGCAATCCTCGGCAGAACCAGCGTTCCGGATGTTCCGCTGCACGGAGCTGCTAGGTCAATAGGCACCATAGTTAGAGTCATAATTCCTTGCCGTGGTATCTGTAAGCAACTTGTGCTTGATGGGCTTCCAGTCAACAACTACCACTAAATGAGCATAATTCGACAGAGTGACTTAGACGGTCAAACCTTTGTAGCCCGCCTTCTCGAGAGCCGCTTTGGTGACTTCTAGAGACCTCCTGATAGGCGGGTGAGGCACGACAACGCCATCATCCCACATGATCGCAAAACATAAATCCTTGCCAGATCCATGGTCTGCGAGATTGTACTCGTCTTCGTCCCATTTCTTCCGAACCGCAAGAGGGTCTTTGAGCCATGGTTTAGCGTTGACAACAGCTTTCATGAAGGCTTTGACGCCGCCGATGCTGTTCGCCATAGGACCGAATACGGAGAGAACCGAATCTTGACCCTCAAGTGAGTTGAGGGCGCCACAGTACGGTACACGCCCGTACGACGGTCTCAGGCTGTACAAGCCGCAGAATGCAGATGGAATACGAATAGAACTGTTGAGAGGGCGTCAGAAGGTTACTACCAGTGGTACTTCCAAATCCATTCCATACCCCCCGAGATCAGAACCCACCCCCAAAGGGCTTCCCTTGAGGGCAACTAACGCGCCCTCTCCTCCAGATGACCCACCCGGGGTCAGAGAGCGGTTGTATGGGTTAGTCGTCCGGCCGAAGATATTATTGAAGGTTTCTGGCCACTGACGATACTTTTAGCCTCCTGAGTAGCAACTTGAATCGTATCGAGTGTTCGCTCACCATGACTGTCTGCGGAAGGTTTGTGCGGACGAATGGCACAGCTCCACATTCGATCAGAATGTCGACCAGCACCGCGTTTTTCTCTGCGTACCGCCCAATCCACGAGATATAACCTAGGACCAGCGATTCATAATGCGTCGGGCCCGGGTTATCATTGATCATTGCTTACCCATAGTGGTTTCTATTCCCTTGATACATAGTTGGTCCTTGAGAGAGATTGGCAGCCCATGGAGGGGACCAACAACCTTCCCTGTCTGTTTAAAGTGATCATCGAGTTCAGCCGCTCGGGCTAATGCACGATCAACAAAAATTTCCGTCAAGCAATTGACCTCATTGGCCGGTTAATGCAACATCGTGAATGTTAACGCAGATTAACTCACGAGCTGGTGGGCAACAATGGCCCTCTTGTAGAACGCGGTGGTCACGTCTACAGCTGTCCATTCGCCACACGAAAGTTTGTCCAACAAAGCATCCACCGAAGTATTAGTAATCTCGATTTCTCGTGCATTTAGAAGGCCGCACGCATCCGGGAATCCGGTCACGTCTAGAGTAGAGTCTGGAGGCGGAGACACAAGCCAGTCTTGTGGAATGGACTTCAGCTGCCTCTGCTGCTTCTCTGCGACAAGTGCAGTCCAATGTGTCATGTCGTGGCTCGTTGAAGATGGAATGGACGAGGGCGAAAAGGTATTGAGGCCTAACACTTTTCACAAGAGATAAGACGGATAGAAGGCTCTCCGTACTGATATTAATAATGAGATAAGAGTCTCAAAATATTATAGGAAGGCCACTCCATGAGATACCCTTCCTTCGTGAAGCTAAGGATATGCGGTTCGGCGAGAGGCCGGTTCAGTGTTCACTGGCAAAGAATCATCCTCAGAAGCTATTTCCGTATCCCATGCAGATCGTGACTACTTACCGTTGTACAGGCGAGCTAGCTAGCCTAAGCTAATGACTTCATCTTGACTGGCGGCGAATTTCACTGTGCCCCTTATGATGATAGCAGAGATCGTCACACCAAAGATGGAGCCTCAGGATGCATATAACATGAAAATGATCAAGCTGCAAACGGCATGGTGCTTGACAAGTTAACATCACTCAGTAGCCTCCAAGGCTCTGAAAGCAAAACACGCGCAGCCTTGGACAGATTGCTCGGAAGCTGCGGCTCAAGTCATGGGCATGTAGCCAGTCATAGCTTCAAGAGAAAATTGCAATTTAGCCAACGATAGCGCGAGCTGTGCTCGACTTGCAATCACGTTATGCTACCTCGACAAGTGGAAGGGTCGAATATCCGAAATATTAAGACTCCTCGGGATAATTGACTGCAAGTTCAAAATGTCAGTTCGTACACACAAAACTAACTGTAACACTCACAAACAGAGCAAATGATTAAAGTAAAAAATTTCAACATAGAGAAGTCATCTGCACAGCTAGGAATGTCGCTGGCGATATTGTCATAAACAAAGGCACTTAGGGCATATATTAACATGCAACCCAGTAGTCGAGCGCATGTGAGCACGGGCGGTCCGAGTATGCGAGCCTAGACATCGGTTATACGCACCATGAAACACGGAGTTGGAGTTAGGGA